TGTGTGTGTGTGTGTGAATGTGCGTGCATATATCACTCCTAATTGTTTGACACATCATACTACTATTATCATTAATTATGTGGTCATATGAATGCAGCTGAAGAAGCCATGTCGTATTGCACTTATCTGCATCGTAAAATCTTTCGGTGTGTACCGTCGACATTTAAAAAAAAAAGAAAACAAAAAGATAATAGGAAAGATAAAATGCCAGAAATCTTATGTACGGATCGAAATGATATCTATTTATTTATGCACCCGTGTTCATTCATTTTATCATCGATGATGATTTTAAAAGAAAAAAAAAACAAAATATTGAAGAAAATTCATTAATTTTTGATATGTTAATGTGTGTATATATATATATATATATATATATAACAAAAAGACAACATTATATTTCCGAAACGTTTCTTTTTCCAATCGCATATTGATCTTCGCGAATAATATTACAAAAAAAAAAAAGAAAAAAAAAGAATAATTATTCAATTGGATTGAATCATCCCTCTCTGTGTGTGAAACAAAAATAATCTAAATACTTGATATACATTTGTGTACAGCGAGTAAGAAAAAATATGAATATCCTTCCTTCCAATTATTCAATTAGAAATCTCATTTGTTAATAAGTTTAACACATAAGTCTGCAAAGTTTTATTTTAAATATTAATTATCCCGACAACGTGTCAGTTACGGTTCTTTTTTCTTCCCCATAGACGTTCGAGTAATATGAGGATCGTTGATAACGAAAATGATTGTTATAATTGTATCAAAATTAACAACAAGAGGTAGAAATAATTTCTGTTACTTGCTGTATACAAGTGTATATAATAAGTAACCATATGTATACTTGTATAAATAGTAGATAATATTTTTCGCCTTTTTTGGCTGTCTTTGTTTTTTCTTTTGTATTGAAGAAAAAAAGTAAAAAAAAAGTAAACAAAAAAAAAGAGAAAAAAAAACCAAGAAAAAAGTAGCCAAGCGTCTTATCTCATGAAAGTCATCGAGCCCGAATTTTTGTTCGAAAGATTACGAAACGAAGAGGGGGAGGAGGTGAAAAAAAAAAACAAAGAAAAAATAAAATAAATAAATCAATAAATAAATAGGGCTCGATCATCACTGAACAATACCAATATCTGCATATAGAAAAATTGTTCCACGGAATGTTAAGAAATATTTTTGCTGCGCAATGAATTAGAAAAAAAAAAAAAAAAATAAATAAATAAAAACTACGACGTTACGGAGTAAACAAAATGTAGAAAGAAAGAAGGAAAGAAAAAATAGGATAGAGAGAAGCAGGAAAAAATATGTTATGAATGAAATTTAAAAATGCGAATAATAGAATGAGAGATGAGATAAGTGAAGCTATAAGAGAATGATACTGCTAGATTAAATATTTAATAAAGAAAAAAACAACAACAACAAAAATGAGATATCTATTTCAAATACGTTACGTGTAAGGTATGTCTTTCTGTATGAATTAAAAAAGTAAATTATAATTAAGCGAATGTCGCGTAAGTTACCCCGTCTCCCCCCCCCCTCTCGCCAACCCCCTTTGAGACGTATCGTTGTGTCCATTTTAATTGAATCGATAGAAAAAGTATGTTATAAGATTGAAATAAGAGAAAAAAGAGAATAGAACAAATACAAAAATACAGGATAAGTAAACAAAATGAAAAACGGGTTTATCATAGAAAATATCGTTTTGTTCGTGTAAAAATTTTATCGTGTTCTCGAATTTATCCTTTTCTTTATTTCTATTATCATCTATTTACCTTTTTTTTAATTGATCCCTATTTTTTTTTTTTATGTATATAAAGGAAAAAAAAGAAAAAGATTTTGAACTATTCATACACGTGTTTGTTTTTTCTATTTCTCAATGTGCAGTGTAACACTTTTGGTATTCGTTTTTTCGTTGTCACAAATTTTTGTCCACATTAGATTTGTTACGAAAAATTTAAATGAAAGTTTTTCTAAAATTATGATATTTTGTTTCTTTTTTAATAATAAATTACACGCGAAAAAAAGAAAGAGAGAGAGGGAGAGAGAAAGAAAGAGTAAGTAAGTAATTGTATATGTTATATACCACACACACGTGTATAAAAATAAATGAATAATAATAAATGAAATAGTTTTTGTTAGAGGATGCTATTGAAAGTAGCTGACGAAGTGTAGTGTAATTGTGCTATTACTTCAAGTATTGCAGAAAAATTAAACACTTACACGTACACGACACACACACAACGACATGTCAGCTGTTAATATGTTCGCGAAGTAAATAAGTAAGTAAGTAAGTAAGTAAATAAGTAAGTAAATAAGTAAGTAAGTAAATAAGTATTTGAGTACTTACGTTCCTTGCAAGAACAAAAAAAGAAAGGAAGAAAAAATAACTTCAAAAAAATCCAAACCAACAACGCATATCCAAGTTGGTTAGTTGAAACGACGATGAGAGAGATACGTTTTCTCGTATTTATTATTTCGTAAGAAAGATAAAAGTAAAAAAAAAAACAAAAAAAAATAAATAAATATCGATTATAAAGAACAAAAGGTAAGGCTGGAAATAAAACCAAAATTGTGCATCGGTGTTTCGTCGTTGGTATAAAAATTAAACAAAAGAAAAAAAAGAACATAAATGTATGTTTGTGTGTGTGTGTGTGTGTGTGTATGTGTGTGTAAAATAAAATTCCAAACGATCGGAATAATTTTTCCTTCTGTCATAGTCCCGGAGAGACTAGTTCAACGAGTTTTTGTTGTAATTCTGATGAAATATCAGATCGATGTGAGTAATTAACGTTGATAATCTTACGTGTTGTTTTCAATCAATCGAAAGGATTGGTGAGTGGGTGTAGTTTCAGTCAATGGGAATTATATTAAATTCTAATAAAAATCACATACTCTCGTACGGGGAAAAAAAAAGAACACACACACACATACAGCATAGACAAAAAAAATATAATCAGAAGAAAGATAGAATCAATGTAAATGAATTTCGTTATGTGACTCATTCGTCTAGTAAATGAGACGATCATCACGCTAATTTTCTTCCTAACCGCGAAGAAAAATAATAAAATACAAATCCTTACGGAAAACCGTCGATGATCTTTTTCTCTCTATCTATCTCTCTCTATCTATCTCTATCTATCTCTCTCTCTCTCTCTCTCTATCTTGAGACGTTACTTACTAATATTTTTCTTTTTCTTTTTCCCCCTTTCTTCATTTTCCTTTTCGTTAGAGATAAATTACTTACCTCACGTAACGCGTTAAAGGAATGAAGTAAGATACTCGAATAAAACAATTTGATGTAATAAGAAAATATAATAAGAAGTTGTTTGGAGCCGAACTAATCATAAAGGAAAACCAAATGCAATAAATTGAATAAAAACAAATGTCAAAGTGTTGAAAATAATTTCTCAACGAATTTGATCTATAGAAAGGTGCGAATAAGATTATCCAATTTTTTCCTATCTCTTATTTCTAATTACTTTTTATCTTTATTTCTTCTTCTTCTTCTTCTTCTTCTTCTTTTCGTTATTGTTAAAGCATCAAAATTCATCGATCAAATTTTTGGTTGATCGTTTAAATAATATTTTTCTAGTAATTATCGCGAACGAAAGATAGTAACAATAATAATTGATCACCACGTTAGAAGAGGAATTCGTGTAAAATGTAAAACTAATTCGCAATATCGATACGATGTTATGTATTTAAATAAAAAAGAAAAAAAAAAGAAAAAAAA